ACCATCCCCCAGCACTGCGGAGAATCAACAACTGGCAGACGATCTGAACGAGTTCTACTGCAGGTTTGAAAAAACCCCCCACACCTGCCCTGAACACCTCTCCACACAACCATTCACACCTCCTGCAACCCCCCTCTCCCCCACACTTGCACTTCAAATCAGTGAAGACGATGTGCGACAGGTCTTCCGGAAGCAGAAAATGAAAAAAGCACCGGGCCCAGATTGTGTTACACCAGCCTGTCTGAAATCCTATGCTGACCAGCTGGCCCCCATCTTCACACAGATCTTCAACAGATCACTGGAGCTGTGCGAAGTCCCTTCATGCGACCCCTCACATCCAGCACACTCCCTCTTTGACCTGTTGCCATCTGGTCGACGCTACAGAGCTCTGAGCACCAGAACAGCCAGACACAGGAACAGTTTCTTCCCTCAGGCAATCCATCTCATGAACACTTGACATTAACTGTGGAACACACAACACTATTTACACGCTCATACACTTATTTATGTAACACACATACTTAGTCTACACCTCAAATTTGCACATAATATACCTGTACATACAAAACGGTCTATTGTAATATACCTGCACATACAATTGTCAATTTATATATTGTTATTCCTTATTTACTCGTTCTATTTTTTTATTTTTTATTATTCTTTTATTATCTGTGTTTTTGTTCTGTCGCTCTCATTCTGTTTCACTGCGGAAGCTTCTGTCATGAAAACAAATTCCTCGTATGTGAAAACATACCAGGCAATAAAGCTCATTCTGATTCTGAATTAATCAACTGTATACTTCCTTCTATGTTTAAAGTCAGAAAATTCACCCTATCTATTCTCTAAATGTATATTATTGATCTTATCATAAAACCATTCATCCATGCATATTTTTCTTTTTTTTAATTATTTTTTACATTGTAATTTTTTATTGAAATTTAGTCCACTTAAACTCTTCCCCTCTTCTTACAAGCGACTGCAAGCTTGCATTTAGCCATTTTGTCTCCAACCAATCATTAACCAATGGATAGGTCCCAGACTACTTTTTCAATAATATATTTTATAAAAAATTGGTGTATAAACAATTTTCATTTTCTCAATTTTCAGAAATTGCTACGAAATGTACAACTCATGACATAGAAACTGCAAGTAAACATGAAATTAGGAGCAAAATTGAAAAAACAACGTTGAAAAATACATTTTTACAGTATACATCACAATATGGAAAAAATGACATTCTGTTACATTGCAGCTTTAAAGAAAGGAGAGACACAAAAAGGATACAAGATTAGTTTTCTCCCAAAGCATTGTGCCTTATTAATCTCCTCTCTTCCACTCACTTATGTGTCATAAAATGTAACCTACTTTCACAGCTATCAGGGACAGGATGGACTACCTGCATTCTCCTGAAATATTGTCCAAGGTGACTTAAAGCAAATTAATTTCAAAGATTCAAGTCACTCAGAGACTTATGGTCACTGGCCCATATAACAAATTAAAACCTACTATACACTATTTTACCCCAAGCAAATGTAATGAGACAACTGATACTCTATTCTGCTCAGTCACAGCTGAACACACATCATTCTTCTGAACTACAACCACAAACACAGATGAATACTTCTAGAATAACTTGTGACTTTCACCTCAACACCTGAACTCTCTGAAGAGAACAAAGGCTGCTCTCAAACAGAAATCATTATTAAAACACAACGAGGCCTTTAAGCCATAGAAGGGAGAAACATATAGCAACCCAAAGAGACACACTCCGACTGACTCCGGGAAAACAAAATGGACGAGATCAAACTGCAGTATCTCTAGTTATAAATCTCCCTCGAATCTCCTCACAATAGTTGAAATAACTTTAATACCCATAAAATTAATGTCTATAAATGTCTTGAACTACACAAGAATGAGCCACGTAAGCCACAAACCCATGCTTATCAGAAAACAGTGCTATATTTCACATTCTTTTTCTCCCAGTTAACCCACAAACATTTGCAAACCATTTAAAAACACTGTGCCCCGAACACAAACCACATCTGGCAAAACCAGACAAAATTAACTGAAGTTATTTCACCGCAAAGCCAGCAATGTAAAGAAGTCAACTGTGATGTGTTTGATGAAACCGGTTGGAGTGAACATTGAAAGAAACAGACTGGTTAAATATATTTTTGTAAGAATGTGAATCTACCTTCAACTATACTTGATACCAATAAAGAAGGGCACTACAGTTTTTCCTCATTAGTTGTTCATTAGTTGCAAAAACCTCATTTACACAACACTTTTTACTACACTATGTGGTGAATTCAGGGGTAGTAATTTCATAATCAAAGATTGTAGCTTTAATCATGACATGGAATGAATATATTGGTAAATATTTTGCAATTGTCTTGTCTTAGACAAGAAAGAATTAGCAAGACCAAAATCCTATAATACTAATGAAATATTACTGCAAGGTTACACCTAACAACAAGACCCTTGAGATACGCATACAAACAAATGCATACCCTTACGAAAAAGAAGTTTATTCAAGTGTGCTATTAGTGTACTTCTTTTAAACTAAAAAAATAGGAAAGTATACTTTTAGTCTACTTTTTATGTACTTCTCAGAAATGGGCTTTATGTACTTCTCAGAAATATACTTAAAATGACATTTAAGTATACTTGACTTA